GATAGAACCAGAAGGAGAACGCGTTACTTGTCTACCATCTCTCCATCAATTTGGAAAACGGAGCATTACAGGCTTCGACAAAGGCACCAAGGAGGTGGGAAGGGGTCTGTCGGTGTGGCATTTGCATGTACTTCATGGACCAGCAGATGAAATGAGGACAATAAAGCATTAGAACCACTACGAAGTCATCCCAGCAGTCAGTGAGCACACCCAAAGCACACACACAGTTTTATCAAACGGGATTTCATTGTGAACATGTAGTCTAATTATGAGTATGCTGAGATGATTCTGGTCACTTTTGCAATTTGTGATTTGAAGGTTTGAGGTTTTGCTTCCTTTGCCAGACTGACAGGAAGAGAAGTCTGCAGCTGCCCCCAGGCCTGTCGTCCTGCTGATAAAGGTAGTGGGCAGCGCAAACGCAGGGAAGGGAAAGGACTCGTCTTAATCGGATCTGTGGGACAGCGCAGCATTGTAACTGAATCTACTTCGAGTAAAATCTTCACATATTGGTTGTTTTAATTTTATTTTCAATGAAAAGAAGCAATTATTTATGCTTATGTTATTAGCTAACTAAAAAGCATTATTTACATTCACTTGACCCAAATGGATTAAATGCGATTGCAGGAAAAATTAAAATAAACTGAAAATACGTGTAACCTCTTTGACACAATCCAAATTTCACTTTAAGGAATAAATAACAGCAAAATTTTTCTGGGTTTTGAATTCTCAGACACGATCAAGGCCCAATGAATGACATTCTAAGTACTTTAACCATTCAGAAAAAGGTGAATGGATATGATATGGAGTTTGTATATATTTGGGGTAAGAGAGAAGAATGAAGAAAGAGTTTCAGAGAAAAGAAAGTAGCTTGGTCTATGAAACCTTGGATATCGATACGCTGGATGGAAAAATAATTTCCAGGAAAATGGGACTGGTTGGTGTGTGTGTGTGTGTGTGTGTGTGTGTACACCATCTACCTTTTATGCTTTTGAGTACTTCCACTACATCTATGAAAAAAAGTTAGAATATCAAAAAGAAGATATCTTCAAAAATACTATTTTAATGAGCACTTAAATTTCTAAAGACCTAAGAACAAAGCTCACTCATGCTAGGGTCCAGAACTTCAGCATCTCCAGTTGTGGTCAGTCCTTGCTTTGAGGATGGAGCCATTCCCTCTGCATTTAGATGGAGTCCAGTTTATTTTAGCTCAAGGGTCTTTTAAAATCTCACCCTGAACTTCTTGGAAAGCCTGAAGGTCATGTTTGCAGACTAGATGCACAGCAGGATTAAACAAACATGGGCTGCCTGAGCAGCAGGTCTCCTTTATTGTATCAGAGAAGCTGTTAATCTTTGGATGATTATTTTTGTAATATAAAATATATGTCCTGGATTAGGAAAACAAACTCCCCACCTGACACACTCATAAATGGTTTTGTAAGATCTAATTTTAGATTGTTCCTAGCTGTTTCATTTCATCACCAGGGACATTTTAAATTTTTAAGAATTCTCCAGTGCTTCTCAAGACTCATTTAAGCAAATGTTCCTGCACAACACAAACCAAGAGATTCAGTAACTCTTGTGGAAAAAAGGAGAACAGTGGTACTTATTATCTTCCCTTAGTTTAATGAATGGATGAACAGGGGAGCGTCATGAGAAGTGGATAATTTAAAATGATGACACATAGAAGTAGCCAGACGCATGGTGACAACACACTGGGAAAAAAAGGAGTAAGCTACACCATCATCCCAGGATCTGTGACTTCAGCAAGGTCTTTAACCACACTGTTCCCGCCCTCACGTTTCTTAGACCCGGTCTGTAGGCCGAGTTGTACCGCTGGACTTTTGTTTTAACCTCCAATACTTCTCATTTACGGAACTCTTTGTAGTTCATAAAGCATTTCCTATTGTTATTGTTTTACTTCTTTCTCACCATAACCCAGAGAGATGTGTAAAATGCAAATTTGTCCACATGTTATAAGCCAGTAAAAAGGATCACAGGTTCTAATAATATACTCCAAAATACTTTTGAGGCCAGAACTATGGGTACGATGTACTTTTCTGCCTACCAGACTGAGTCAACACACACACACACACATTTTAAAAGAAAAGCTTTTAAAGGAAATTTTTCTCCTTATGAAAACTACTATCATATTTCCAGTACCCCTCTTCTCTCTTTGCTATTGTTTAACATATACAGGTGCTACTTAACTTAACAAACATAAATAGTAGTTTTAAAAAATAAGATTTTTTTAAATCATAGAAATATTTCACCTTAAGCAAATTTAAGATAAATTTCAGCTTGCTGGGAAGAATTAAGATTATATTGCTTTACAACAAAGACTCTGAATAGGATTGCTTTAAATAGTAAAATTCCTCAGCACATTCAAGATATGTTGGTTTATGAAAATATGATTCCCACAGAACTTTACAGGAATGCATCTGTTATACAAATCCATGTTCACCTGTAACTTACTCTAGAGGGAACAACTGAGTGATAATAATAATAACATACTCATGTACTTCTTCATTATACATTTTAAAGTGCTTTCTCTTAATTTATTGCACTTGTCCTGGGCAACCTTAAAAGGGAGGCAGAGACCATATTATTATCCTTTCTTTACGGATGAGAAATTGAGAGGTTAAGTGACTTGCCCAAGGTCAGACGGCCCATTCATTCATTTACTGCTCTTTGAGTGATGTAGCTTTAACAGGGTATTCAAGGAAGTAAGGTTCTTCCTCCTATTTTTCTTAACCAGCTGTGAAGGCTATTAAAACAGAAGTGGATGATCTCACAAATACAATGCTGAACAAAAGAAGCCAGGCACAAAAGTATACTGATGATTCTATTAATGTAAAATTCAAATGCAGGCAAAATTAATCTATGGCGATAGAACAGTGATGAACTTGGGGAAAAGAGGGTGGTGACTGAAGGGTAAAGGGGGGTTTCCTGGGTATGGTAATATTCTATTCTTTGACCCATGAAAATTCCCTGAGATCTAGACTTACGATTTGTCTGCTTTCCCTTAAATATAGTATAGAAGTTTTCTTTTAAAAAGTATTTTACATCTTGAAAATCAGTGTAGTGTACTTTGGAGGAGCATTACATTGTATATAGCCTTTGAACACTTTTGATTTCATTAAGTTTCTTAGCTGCATTTTTAAAAATGAGAATATAAACTAAATCTGAAAAGCTTAAAGACAAGAAAAAGTTTATAGAAAAAATAGCCAGGATCATCTTCATCTCAAAAGTTGCTGTAAGAAATGGGAAAGTGGAGCACACTAAGATAGTAACAGATAAGGCCAGCTACAACATTTATGTTTAATGATAGTAAGCTAGGAATTGCAGGAAAATGGGGTTAAATTGTTATTCACATAGTACATTATGGAGAGAATATGTGAATTTAAGGAAGATAAGGTTGTAATGTAAAGATCCCCATTTAGTGTAGAACTTTGCATCTGAGGGCACCACACCGCACAGCGGGGTCGAAAGCCGTGGCAGCGACCACAATCTCCGTAGGACGTACACACCTGGGAACAAAGGAGGGCTCCGAAGAGTCCCAAGGAGGCTTCGGTGTGAGAATTGCCTCGGAGGGATTCTGACCATCATCCAGGATAGAAATCACAGGTGCATTCAATTGCCTAAAGCACTTTCAAAATGTATATTGTAGGTTTCCAGGAATCCTTCACCTCCCATGATCCTATAACCCTGACAGCTAATGCTGCTCTTGCATGCAAAGTTACCACTAATGACAAATTTTTATATATGGTCTTTTGTTTCATTTTTATATATGGTCTTTTGTTTCATTTTGTTCTCTTCAGAAAGAATCCAATATCGTATCTCCCCCTCCCACCAAATTATCTGTATCAAGTGCCTATCTTGATATTACAGGTGAGGAACAGAGACTTTTCGGGCGAAGGGTCAGATTCGGCCCCGGCGTGCTCTCCTTTTGCCACTGATGTTTCAGAGTCAGCTACACGATAGCTCTGCCTACAGTTTGGTGAGTTCTTCCCAGGAGGGCTATTGCAGGGGTCCGGTGCAGGATAAGACTTCAACCTTTAACCCAATTACACATTTGTTTTCATTATTGACCATCCCATTTCTGTGCATCAGTTTCACTAGAACTTAGCTAATTATTTTTTTACAAATAAACTTTATCCCCTGAACACGCACCTGCAGGCTGCGTGTCACACATTCTGTAGAACAGGCCTGGTCAAGCTTATTGTGATCACTGCCTCCAGGACAGCGCAGTGAGACACTGCTGTCCGTGGCATTTGGGTTATTACATGGTCACCCGCTGTTCTCCAATACTGTTTATGTCATAAAATAGGTCAGAAAGAAGGCTTCAGTGGCAGCAAGAGAGACAGGGGTAGGTGGGTCGAAGGGCTTCCACGCTTCAGGGCTCCGCAAGCTGCCCCCACTCCTCTCACTGGCAAAGGATAAACAGTCATGAGGAACTGAGTCTGCGCATGTGCGGGTGAGTCCATGCGAAACCTTCTCATCATCTCTTTTAATGACGGAGATAGAGAAGGCACGACTATTTCTCTCTGGGAGAAGCCCTTCAACCAAAAAGTCCTTGAATGACTGTGGAAGGTTTACTGTACTAATTCACAGTTAGTTACACCAATCTTTTCAAAACTCATTTTATTTATGCTATAAGGTGTTTCCCTGAATTTAATTTCCTTTACAGCAGAGCTGCTTAAAGCAAATTCTCTCCTTTGTCCTTCCTGTGTCTCTGTCACTCCTCCCACCCAGAACCTCCCTCTCTTTTCTTCCTGTTGGTTCCACAGATGTGCTGTCTTGTGACCTTCACCATATAACAGGCCATATTACCTTTGAACTTTTACTAGTTTTCACTCTTTTTCCCATAGGTCACATGATAGATATATATGTTACACAGAATCTTGACAACAGTGTTAAGCAACCTTGACTTTCATGATTTATTATATCAATTTTATGACAATGTATAGAATTCAAAGTAAAGGATAAATTGAGATACTTGCCATTGAGCCTTGCTTTCCTGGGTTCCCTGGTTCACCCTTAAAAAAGAATAGTGATAATTTTATTGATGCTATAAACATTAAAAAACAATTTCAATATTCTTTTTCTTGTTCACAATACCCATTGGGGGTACATGAATGTCAAATACCCTTTTTAAGCTAAATAGAGAAATTCAAACACAATGCAATAGAAAAAGGCCAATATTCGTTCTTCAAATGCATTTTATAAACAGTTTAGGATTTAATAAAATAAGCCTAGATTATAGTAGAGATTTAAGATTATACCAAGAATATATTCTAAATAAATTTATATTATGTTATGAAATGGTCATAGAAAACTATTTCATTGTAATTACAGTAATATCTCATTTATTATTATGTCTTGTTCATGATGACATAAGATGATGATACAGTCCTCTTTCTGCGAATTCAGAACTCTCATATATATTATATATATTATATATGGGTATATACATATACATATGTATATATGAGAGACAGGCGATTACTCTTAGTGCAGGAATTAAATAAAAGGAGCAGAGATTGATTTTGAATGTTAATTATCCTGGATTAACGATGGCTGAAGTAACACGATTAATTAAAATGGACAGCTATATTAAAATAAAAATATCTGCCATATTATATCACTATCATAACTTTCAAATACTCAGATTCATACAGAATTCCTTATCATGTTTTATTATATTATTATAATAGCAGTAATTGGTTACAGGTATTTTTTTGAAAAACATGCTTGTAATGTCTATATATATATGTATATATATATGTTGTTGGACTTTAAAAATAAGTACTTCTCAGTTTATAAAAGATTTTTATAAAATCTTTTTTTTCAGTGGTTATGATAGTATATAAAATTAACTCAGACTTTAAGTCCAGTTCAAAGTATATTTGTAGAATTTTAAAAACCTTTGTATAAAAAGCTCCATGTCTCACTTCTGTGAGTAAACTACATTTGCTTAAAGGATGACCTAGTGTTTGGATGGTTTACAATTTGCCGTACCCTAACTTTTTCTTGTTTTTTGAAAGTAACTTACACTCGAAATTTCCTGTAGAGTAGCAATACCCAAAGCTCTGACCCATTCTGCACCATCAACATGGCTTTAACTGCCCTTCTTCCCAGGGAGACACTCACTTTGTTGGAGACCAGCAGTCAGCTGGAGAGCTTGGGATATCCCTAAAGCCGCATCTGCTTCTATCTTTTGAGATATCCACCCAAGAAAAGGGGAACAGTCTACAATTTTGGATGAAACCACACTCTTTGATGATTCAGTTATAGCAGTCCTATATCATATGTTGCAAATTAATTCCTCATTTCATATGACAAATTAACAACAGCTTTCAGGAAGGGAAATGGGGCTTATGGAAGGTTGTCTGAGAAAAGCTTTAAAGTACCTTATATTCTTACAAACAGAATCATTCTTTAAAAAATACGTAATATATGAATATAAAGATAAAATGTACCAAAACAATGACTATGCTGATTTTTATTTTTTGTTTTTCACCATCTTTATTTAAAAAATGTTTACATTGTGGATAAATAGTCTCCATATTACTTTGATGTTTTAACCATTAATTTTACTGTTTCATTTGGCAATTCTTTCTGGTCAAGTTATTAACAAGGGATTAAATATTAGACAGATTTAAATTCTTTACTCTCCATAAATTATATGGGATTTTATCAGCTCTGCTACTGATCTTTTACAAAATGTGATTAATCCTCCACCTGGGTTTTCAAGCTGGTCTGCATTTAAACCGCAGGCACTGATGAACTCTCTGGAATCAGGACTCAAGTGACATCAGCCCTGTCCAATCAGACTTCCGGAGGCTTACCTGAAAACCAGCTTAGTTGCGGTCCCCAGGTCTTTGTGGATCCCATGGGGTCCCCATGGACTTAGTGGGAAAGTAGAATCCTGCTGGCTAGGTCCTCCCTGCTGGGGACTTTCCTAGCACCCCTCTTCCATCAACCCATTCCACACTCTGAACCCCCTTATTTTACAGCCCTTCCCAAGTCCTCTCCATCCCAGTTCTCAGCCCTTCACACAAAACCAAACCTGTTGGAACAAGTGATCTGAAAAGCAACTCACGGGCTCTCCTGGCATTCCACGAGGGCCGTCTTTGCCCGTGTCCCCAGGAGGCCCTCTTGGGCCTGGAGGGCCGGGTGGGCCTGGGGGCCCAGCTTGTCCTTGGTCGCCCTACAATGGAGATGGGGACAGATCAACCATGACCACAGAAGATAAAGACTCAGGTCTTCTTTTCCACACTTTGAATTTGCATTATCTAATTCACATTTACACTATGAAAGAACCAGAGCCACCAGAAACATGAAGCATGTAGGCAATTTGCCTGCCAGCAGGGATCAAATAAATATTCATGCTGGGTGAGCTAAGTGCAGCTATTAAAATCACAGCAGCTCAGGAACCAGCACTGCTCTCAGCTCTTGGGAACAGTGTGTCTGTTTCCACTCTATTCCACGCTGGTATAAAACCTTTGCATAACTTTATCCACAACAATGCTGCATCCATTATATCACCTTGTTTAATAAAAGGGCTGCATTTGAAGTTGGTCAATGTGTTTTCTTTTTCATAGCCTATAAAATTAAGCATACAAGGCTATTGTCATGCTATATAATAATGTATACATTACCCAAGCTAGAGACCTTAGAAGCTGGGTCTACTACTGGTTATAACTCAAGCTTTTTCTTAATTAAGAAAAAATTAGGCGCTCTATGCCTTTTATTTTGGTACTTTCGCATACATTTCAAACAAATGCAGCTCACTAAACATAACTTTGTTTGAAGAGATTTCTAAATAAATATTTCCCCACTCCACCCCCACCCATGAAAGGTAAATGGCAAAGCAGCAGTATATAGAGTAACAACTGAATGCAAAGAAGAAATTAGACTTAAGCAAGAATAAGCACTACCTTAATCAGGCGGCGTTTAATGAGCTGCTGATCAGCAGAGAGAAACCCATGATTGATTTTAGGAAACACCATCTGATCAGTCAGGTGAGGTCAAAGGTTGAAGTTCAGAGATGAGAGAGTTGAAGAATAGACATCAGAAGGCCCCAAGAAAGAAATAAAGATATACACATTAGACTTATAATGACCAGTAAATAAAGCAGAACTGGCACTTGTGTCTCATAACAGACCCTCTGGCTTTTTGTGAAAGAAATATGACCCTAAAACAGGACGGTGAGACCAGATTTTTAGTTAGAAATGGATTTTTTTGGTATTCCATCATTATGCCCCGGTGTTGGGCCTTTCTCATGCCGGGTACTACAGAGGCAGGCAAGCTCTGCACTCTGTACTCCAAGCAGAAAACCCCCAGACAAAGTGCCAGTTCGGTTTCCGTCAGATTTGTCAACCAGCATAATGTGGCATGAACGCGACTGCCATTTCATTGATGCCAAAATCCAGAGAACTTAGAATTATTTATTTGACTGGAAAATGTCATGGAGCTTTGCCAGGGATGCACGCTCAAACATCAAGGTGTGGCCCAGTCCTAGAGAGTTGTGCCTGCCTCTTTTCACTGTCCTTGCTTGGCTCCAACATCTTCCTGTCTTAAATGCTCAAGATTCTCCTTTTTGAATCTGCTTGACCTCACCAATGTAGGTGAGGCCCCAGGAACCCACAGCCTGCTTTGTCAGACGAAAGGGAGCGCAGCAGGGCTCGGCTGTCCAATTTAGCGGTTCTTGCTCACTCTTATGCTGATTGCAGGCTCTGACGGAGCGCGTGGGTGCCGACCACAAACCTTGACGGTGAGGATCTGATTACTGTGCAGGGCAGCAACTGTGGGGAAGCCTGGCAGACCCTATGGACAGGGCACAGCACCAAAACACGACACAAAACGTCACACAGACATTTCACTGGTGGACAAACAAAACAAGCATGTACCTAATAGCACCCCGTCCCATCTCCGATTCTTGCCTCATTTGACAAGCCATAAACAAAATCGGACACATGGGGCTCCCAGGTGACGCATTCCTTAAAGGGCCACAATGGGAACTCCTTGTGACTGCTCCTTGCAGCAGGTACAATAGATCTGAGTATACACTTTTTACATGTCTGAAGTCTTATGTACAAAATGAAGATAACTACAGACACTGTTGTGAGAACAACACTTGAATTTCCCTCTGTGGATATTCTTGTTACTCTACCACTCAGGACATACAATGCGTGTACTAATTCTTTTGGGGACAACCGTGAACAGAATGTTGCAGTCCAATCAGCAGTATTCCTCAGAATAAATGTAGTATGCCTCACAAAATATAGCCTTACCCCCCACATATCAAAATTTCTCCCTCCAATCATCTGGTGGTTCTCAGGTCTCTCCTGTTTCAGGAATTTCTGCAGAGGTGGTGGATGGAAATCTGTGTCTTATAACATGTGTACTTCATGTCAGGGGGCGTTATGGTCACACTCTGTAGTGATTACTTCTGTCACATAACTTTTGCAAAAGAACTTGACAGTTCACACAACCCCTTGAAGCAGAGAAGCGGTTTTGAATTCCTTAAACAGGGAGCCCAAGAGAGGTGGTGGAGAGCCCTGTGCTTCACTCATTGTGCTAATTCGCCCCTGCAGGCGTTATCAACTGGGTGGGTCTGAGAGGGAAATTTTGCCTTTGTTCTATTTTTTTCCCTCAACAACATGCAATTTGGGAGCCTCTTATTCAATGTTTTCACACAGAACACGTTCAGCATACAAATAAGATAAACAACCACCAGGGCAATACACGCTGCCTTCCTGCGTTCTCGCCCCTTCACGGCCCTCCTCTCCTCCTCTTCCCACCCAAATTTATTTTGAGAACGTTTTTAGGAAAGGCCAGAAAATTTTTAGTTTCTAAATTTTACTAGTTTGGGTACATTTTCTCTTGGATTTTCTCCTCACGAAGGATATACTTTTCTTTTCAAGAAAACCACTGAAACGAGGTCTGTGGTATGAGACTTTCCCTTCATCCCTAAGGTTTTTGACTCGCATTCTTCAGAGCCAGGGCTGCTCAGGAAGCCAAGCAAAGGAAAGCGCATCCCTTTGGCCAAACCCTTCCTGATGAGGCTGAAACGTGGCTGGGTAGTTGCAGGGTGACCTGCTCTCTCCCCTTTTTCTTCTCCTTAAGTAAAACGTCCTTTAAACACCGACTCCACACAAATTCAGAAATGCTACAAGTTGGAAAACAGATGTGTACAATTTGCTTTTGTTTTACTATGGAGTATGAGTTTAAAATGTTATTAGATGGTAATGTGCCAGCACTCTTCCATCTGTGACTCATTAGCCCTATATTACACAGTCAGAATTTTATATCGAAACCTCATATTTATGTAACAAAGAACAAAAACAGATACAAACAAGAAGTCTACGAGGACTCAGAATCTTGATTAGTGGCAATAAATCATAATGTCACTCTAAACGGGATTATCTAACAAAAATTAAAAACCTTTTAACGGCACACATGGTAGGCCTTAGAAATGTTTTGAAGTTTGAATGTATAAATAAGTCACTTCTTGTACTTATACCTGAGCATGACCAGCTTGCTGTTTGATCATATTTTCTAAATGCTCAAAGAAAAAAAAGCATTAAGTTTTAGCACTTCTTAGTTCGCTTTCCTGTGTTAACCTGATTGAAAGAGGAAGTGGGTAGGTAATTCTCACCTCGGACAGATCCTTCTCCTCAAACAGAAAACGTCTGTGTCGGGAAGCTGATTTTATGTCCCTCTATCATCCGAACTGAGCACATGCTACCAATTAGGTGCTCAGAGCTGCATTTTACCAATTTCACTAGAACTGAGCAGAAGGACTTCAAGAGTGTACGTGTATTGAATAGCAGAGAGGGGACATGTGGAGGAATTCTCTTAAATTCTAAGAAAAATCCCATGGCCTGGGCTGTAGTGTCCTGGGACCTTGTGCCAGGGTCCGGGGAGCATCCAAAGGCATTAATAAATGTGGTGCATTGTCCTTAGGGTCCATTTAATTAATGGTAAAAAAATTTTATTTTTAATTTTTATTTACTTATTTTTAATGGAATTTATTGGGGTGACATTGTTAAATAAAACTATGAGGGGGACAAATTTATTCATAAAAAATTTTATGTTTATCCTTACATTTAAAGTTCAGTCGCCTTCAAAGTACTCTCCATCTGAGGCAATACACCCACTGAGACACTTTTTCCCACTGCTCAGAGCGGTTTGGAATGCATTGATTCTGATGTCTTTTAGTGCTTCTGCCATTTTTTTGTTTCACCTATCTCACACTGGCAAATGTTTCCCTTTGAGGACTTTTTTCATCCAGGAAAACAAAAAAAAAGTCCTTTGGGGTGAGATCAGGTGAATAGGGAGAGTGGGACATGGGAGTCATGCCATTTTTGGTAAAAAATTGCTGAACACTCAGTGTGGCGTGGGCAGGTGTGGTCGTAAATCACCCTTCATGAAACAGGCAAACAGGCTGAAAAGGTCTTTAAAAAAAAATCACTGAAACTGAATGCAGCCTCTCGCAAGAACACCAGCTGGTACACAGATACAGATGGGTTCCTAGGACACGCCTCTAGTAGGGGAAGTCTGCACTACAAGGGGCCCGTCCTCCAGAAGATAATTCTGGGAGGGGGTTTGGGTCCTCCCTCAGATATAAGTTTCAAATGTACAATTCTATAATATATCACCTGCATATTGCATTGTGTGTTCACCACCCCAAGGCAAATATCCTTCCACTGCCATTTATCTTCCCTTCACCCTCTTCTACCTCCCTTCACCGTCTCTTTCCCTCTGGTAATCACCGCGCTGTTGTCTCCGTATATGAGTTTGTTTGTTTGTTTGTTTGACTTAATCCCTTTGCCTTTTTCACCCAGCTATCTACTTTCCTCCTATCTATCACCTGTCAGTCTGTTTTCTGTATCCATGAGTCTGTTTCTATTTTGTCTTTTTGTTTATTTTGTTCACTAAATTCCACAAATAAGTAAAATCATGTGGTAGTTTTCTTCCTCTGACTGGCTTATTTCATTTAGCATAATATTCTACAGGTCTATCCATACTGTTGCAAAAGGTACAATTTCTGCTTTTTCACAATCAAGCAGTATTCCATTGTGTAAATGTACTACAGCTTTTTTATCCACTCATCTACTGATAGGCCCTTGAGCTGCTTCCAAATCTTTGCTATTGTAAATAATGCTGCAATGAACATAGGGGTGGATATATTATTTCAAATCAATGTTTTGGATTTTTTTTGGATATATTCCCAGAAGTAGAATTGCTGGATCATAAGGCAGTTCCATTTTTAATTTGTTGGGGTATTTCCATACTATTTTCACAGTGGCTGCACCAGTCTGCATTCCCACCAACAGTGCAGGAGGGCTCCCTTTTCTCCACATCCTCTTCAACACTCATTTGCTGATCTATTGATGATAGCCATTCTGACAGGTGTGAGGTGATATTTCATTGTGGTTTTACTTTGCATTTTTCTGATGACTAGTGAGACTGTGCATTTTTTTCATATGTCTATGGGCCATCTGTATGTTCTCTTTGGAGAAGTTTCTTTCTATGCAGTCCCTTTGTTAATTTTTCAATTGGATTGTTTGGTTTTGGGGGTTATATAAGTTCTTTATAAATTTTGGATATTAAGTAGAATTTTTAACTTTTTTTGGTAAAGCAAACATGGACCCAACTGGGGGCAGAATGTAAAATTTGCACACATTTAAAGAAGTGTTTTAGGATGATGGAGAATCTCTTCTCATTCGGGGCTACCTCCAGATTCACGCACAGATGCCGATCTGACTGCTTCCTGCAGGCGCACTGGTGCGGACCCTTCTCTGCTGATCATGGCTTCATGTGGTGCTGTGAGGCTTTCCTAGCTGTTCACACAGCGAGTGTACTTTTTCATTAACTATGCCAAATTTTTTCACAGTATTATTAGTCATAGATCTTTCTAAATAAATGAAATGGACATATTTTACTTGGTTTTACATCTTGGAAAACTCGCCTGGTACACAGATGGCTCGAGTGGGTGTGGGGGGGAAATGTGTTTCCAGCAAAACATGGAGAATGAGTCCAGGAATGAGCTCGAATCCTGAAATAATTTGTGCAAATTTCACTCCCAAATATTTTGAGATCTTCCAAAACTGGGTAAGGTGTAAAACCATATCACAGAACCTATTTTCCCTCGAGAGCATAAAGACTCAGGCTACTCCGTGGACCTTCCCGACATGCTGTAAAGCAGGCAACCAGCCAGGACCAGGTTTCCGACACCACCGCAGGAGGGGCTCTCTTCTGTCCACTACCTTTGAGGAGGAAAGACACAAGCCAAAGGGATGCTGAACAAATAAATAATTCATAAGAAACACTACTAGCTACTTAGGGGCCATAAATTCAAGATGCCATCGTCAGTTTTATTAGATACTCGATGATGATGAGTGCTATATGAGTGTGCTGTAGCGGGAAAACATTGTGTGTTGTCAGAAGTATTCAGTAAGACAATGACAGAGCCAGAAACTCGATCCAGAACTTATAATTCCAGACTTTGTCATCATGCTATTTATGTGTTTATAATTTCTTTCTAGTTTATTTATAGTTTAAATATAAGAAAGCTTGACTAACATTGCACAACACTTAGGAAGTATTTATTGAGAGCCTTCTGTGCAGCATTCAGTGTGACAGACCCTGGGGATTGAATGGTGTGCAAGACCCCAAGCTCACAGGGGTGAACACCTGGTGGGGAAATGGGGAAAAGTAAGCAGGCAGTAATCACACAGGGTGACAACTGTTTTGATGGAGAAGTAGAAGGACTACAAAGTAACTAACGCATGTGCCTGATGCCAGGTGTGATGAGCCAC